TCGCGACTGATTAATGAAAAGATTGTGGGGTCATTAGGAAGGATCACAGGGAGGTGGTGAGGATGGGTCTGGTAGGACGGGGAGGTGGGAATTGGAGCGAGTGGACAGTGTGGGGGAGGGGTTCATTGGGGTCTTGGTTTTGTGGGGGGGGGGGAGGTATGGGCGAGGCGGGGGGGGCTGTTTACAGCCCTGAACCAGTGGTGGAAACTCCACATTACTATGGTGGGGGGCGAGTAACCCCACGGATTATCAAACCCGGAGATCTGCGTTGGGTCTTTCACATCCACTACCACCTATGGGCACACGACCCTGCCACGTGGGGGCGGACCCTGCCACGTGGGGGGGCGGACCCTGTCACGTGGGGCGGGGGGCGGACCCTGCCACGTGGGGGAGGACCCTGCCACGTGGGGGGGCGGACCCTGCCACGTGATGCGCGTTCGGTCGACCTCACGGCCACATCGCGTCACTGTGTCACGTGAGTACTTTGTGCTATAGAGTCACTAAATATACTGTTATAGAGTCACTATTAATACTGTTATAGAGTCACTATTAATACTGTTATAGAGTCACTATTAATACTGTTATAGAGTCACTATTAATACTGCTATAGAGTCCCTATTAATACTGTTATAGAGTCACTATTAATACTGCTATAGTCACTAATAATACTGTTATAGAGTCACTATTAATACTGTTATAGAGTCACTATTAATGCTGTTATAGTCACTATTAATACTGTTATAGAGTTACTATTATTACTGCTATAGAGTGACTATTAATACTGTTATAGAGTCACTATTAATACTGTTATACAGTGACTATTAATACTGCTATAGAGTCACTATTAATGCTGTTATAGAGTCACTATTAATACTGCTATAGAGTCACTATTAATACTGTTATAGAGTCACTATTAATACTGTTATAGAGTCACTATTAATACTGTTATAGAGTCACTATTAATACTGTTATAGAGTCACTATTAATACTGTTATAGAGTCACTATTAATACTGTTATAGAGTCACTATAATACTGTTATAGAGTGCACTAATTAATACTGTTATAGAGTCACTATTAATACTGCTATAGAGTCACTATTAATACTGTTATAGAGTCACTATTAATACTGTTATAGAGTCACTATTAATACTGTTATAGAGTCACTATTAATACTGCTATAGAGTGTTATAGAGTCACTATTAATACTGTTATAGAGTCACTATTAATACTGCTTATAGAGTCACTATTAATACTGCTATAGAGTCACTATTAATACTGTTATAGAGTCACTATTAATACTGCTATAGAGTCACTATTAATACTGCTATAGAGTCACTATTAATACTGCTATAGAGTCACTATTAATACTGCTATAGAGTCACTATTAATACTGCTATAGAGTCACTATTAATACTGTTATAGAGTCACTATTAATACTGTTATAGAGTCACTATTAATACTGTTATAGAGTCACTATTAATACTGTTATAGAGTCACTATTAATACTGTTATAGTCACTATTAATACTGCTATAGAGTGACTTAATACTGCTATAGAGTCACTATTAATACTGCTATAGAGTGACTATTGATACTGCTATAGAGTCACTATTAATACTGTTATAGAGTCACTATTAATACTGTTATAGAGTCACTATTAATACTGCTATAGAGTGACTATTAATACTGTTATAGAGTCACTATTAATACTGTTATAGAGTCACTATTAATACTGCTATAGAGTCACTATTAATACTGTTATAGAGTCACTATTAATACTGCTATAGAGTCACTATTAATACTGCTATAGAGTCACTATTAATACTGTTATAGAGTCACTATTAATACTGCTATAGAGTCACTATTAATACTGCTATAGAGTCGCTATTAATGCTGCTATAGAGTCACTATTAATACTGTTATAGAGTCAATATTAATACTGCTATAGAGTGACTTAATACTGCTATAGAGTGACTATTGATACTGCTATAGAGTCACTATTAATACTGCTATAGAGTCACTATTAATACTGTTATAGAGTGACTATTAATACTGCTATAGAGTCACTATTAATACTGTTATAGAGTCACTATTAATACTGCTATAGAGTCACTATTAATACTGTTATAGAGTCACTATTAATACTGTTATAGAGTCACTATTAATACTGTTACAGAGTCACTATTAATACTGTTATAGAGTCACTATTAATACTGTTATAGAGTCACTATTAAAACTGTTATAGAGTCACTAATAATACTGTTATAGAGTGACAATTAATACTGTTATAGAGTCACTATTAATACTGCTATAGAGTCACTATTAATACTGTTATAGAGTCACTATTAATACTGTTATAGAGTCACTATTAATACTGTTATAGAGTCACTATTAATACTGCTATAGAGTCACTATTAATACTGTTATAGAGTCACTATTAATACTGTTATAGAGTGACTATTAATACTGTTATAGAGTCACTATTAATACTGCTATAGAGTCACTATTAATACTGTTATAGAGTCACTATTAATACTGTTATAGAGTCACTATTAATACTGTTATAGAGTCACTATTAATACTGCTATAGAGTCACTATTAATACTGTTATAGAGTCACTATTAATACTGCTATAGAGTCACTATTAATACTGCTATAGAGTCACTATTAATACTGTTATAGAGTCACTATTAATACTGATATAGAGTCACTATTAATACTGCTATAGAGTCACTATTAATACTGCTATAGAGTCACTATTAATACTGCTATAGAGTCACTATTAATACTGCTATAGAGTCACTATTAATACTGTTATAGAGTCACTATTAATACTGTTATAGAGTCACTATTAATACTGTTATAGAGTCACTATTAATACTGTTATAGAGTCACTATTAATACTGTTATAGAGTCACTATTAATACTGCTATAGAGTGACTTAATACTGCTATAGAGTCACTATTAATACTGCTATAGAGTGACTATTGATACTGCTATAGAGTCACTATTAATACTGTTATAGAGTCACTATTAATACTGTTATAGAGTCACTATTAATACTGCTATAGAGTGACTATTAATACTGTTATAGAGTCACTATTAATACTGTTATAGAGTCACTATTAATACTGCTATAGAGTCACTATTAATACTGTTATAGAGTCACTATTAATACTGCTATAGAGTCACTATTAATACTGCTATAGAGTCACTATTAATACTGTTATAGAGTCACTATTAATACTGCTATAGAGTCACTATTAATACTGCTATAGAGTCGCTATTAATGCTGCTATAGAGTCACTATTAATACTGTTATAGAGTCAATATTAATACTGCTATAGAGTGACTTAATACTGCTATAGAGTGACTATTGATACTGCTATAGAGTCACTATTAATACTGCTATAGAGTCACTATTAATACTGCTATAGAGGGACTATTAAATCTGCTATAGAGTGACTATTAATACTTCTATAGAGTCACTATTAATACTGCTATAGAGTGACTATTGATACTGCTATAGAGTGACTATTAATACTGCTATAGAGTGACTTTTAATACTGCTATAGAGTCACTATTAATACTGCTATAGAGTCACTATTAATACTGCTATAGAGTCACTATTAATACTGTTATAGAGTCACTATTAATACTGATATAGAGTCACTATTAATACTGTTATAGAGTGACTATTAATACTGAAATAGAGTCACTATTAATACTGCTATAGAGTCACTATTAATACTGCTATAGAGTCACTATTAATACTGCTATATAGTGACTTAATACTGCTATAGAGTCAATATTAATACTGCTATAGAGTCACTATTAATACTGCTATAGAGTCACTATTAATACTGCTATAGAGTGACTATTGATACTGCTATAGAGTAACTATTAATACTGCTATAGAGTGACTATTAATACTGCTATAGAGTCACTATTAATACTGCTATAGAGTCACTATTAATACTGCTGTAGAGTGACTATTGATACTGCTATAGAGTCACTATTAATACTGTTATAGAGTCACTATAAATACCGCTATAGAGGGACTATTAATACTGCTATAGAGTGACTATTAATACTGTTATAGAGTCACTATTAATAATGCGATAGAGTGAATATTAATACTGTTATCGAGTCACTATTAATACTGCTATAGAGTCACTATTAATACTGCTATAGAGTCACTATTAATACTGCTATAGAGTCACTATTAATACTGCTATAGAATCACTATTAATACTGTAGAGTCGATATCTACTGCTATACAGTCAGCATGTACTACTGTACAGTCCATTAATACTGCTATACAGTCAGCATGTACTACTGTAGAGTCGATATCTAATGCTATAGAGTCAGCATGTACTACTGTACAGTCCATTAATACTGCTATAGAGTCAGCATGTACTACTCTAATCATAGCAGGTACCACCACTTTCGCTTGCCCTGCTCTAATCATAGCAGCTTACACCACAGTATGCATGCACTGCTGCAGGGAAAGCAGGTACCACCACACTATGCACTGCTGTAGTAATAGCACGGACCACCACAGTCACTATGCACTGCTGAATTAATAGTGCTCAGATGTGGCGAGAGTGCAGAGTTTCTCACATCTGCCCAGTGTGCTCATGACCGGCTCCGGTTTAACACCAGAGTGTGTGAGGACGGGTGAGACATCCTCTAACACAAGTGCGGCTACGCTTTTTTTTGGTCACGCTGCACAATGGTGCCGATCGCCGGGACTGGTTTACTACGGCCTTTGGAGCGGCTTTGCCAGTTTCGCCAGATCGGCCCAGGACCGCTGGATAATGTCGGATGATAATCGTGTGGTGACGGATAATCGATGACGATCGACGGTGTCTCGAGCTGAATGCGGTGCCCAACGTGCGACATTGGTTGACGCGCGGCCGGCCAACGCGCCGTCTAAATCCGCGTCTCTCTTCTGGAATTCTCAGGCGGGCAACGCTTTTGGTGAGCCGGCGGTCGCAATGAGCTGGAGCTTCCTGACCCATCTGTTGGAGGAGATATCTCTGCACTCGACGTACCTGGGCAAGCTCTGGCTCACCACGTTCCTGATTTTGCGCATCATGCTGACTATCGCGGCGGGCGAATCCATCTACCACGACGAGCAGAGCTCGTTCATGTGCAACTCGCAACAGCCGGGCTGCACAAACGTCTGCTACGACTCCTTCGCTCCCCTCTCCTACGTGCGCTTCTGGATTTTTCAGATTATCACCGTGGCGGCGCCCAGCATTCTCTACCTCGCCTTCGCCATACACAGGATACAGAGGTCTAGTAGAGTTACGACGACGACGATAATCGTGATGATGATAATGACGATGAAGGCCCCCCCCCCCCCCAAAAAAAAACCTTAATTCCACTCTTTGTTTTGGTGAGAAGGATATTTTTAAACTTTCATTCCCGCGTCGTTATCCGCAGGTCAGAAGGCTCGACCGGCCACAAAAAGCACCGACGGACCGAGCAAGCCGAGGAGAATGTCCAAGCGGAGAAAGGAGGGGAGTTTGCCGACGAGGCTGGCGAGGTCAAGAAGAACGACCACAGATGGCACGACGGGCGCCGCGCGATCCGGGCCGACGGCCTCATGTGGGCGTACACGCTGCAGCTCGTCCTGCGCACGGTGGCCGAAGTGGGCTTCCTTCTGGGCCAGTACGTGATGTACGGCTTGGAGGTGATCCCCCGCTTCGAGTGCCCCCGCCGCCACCCTTGCCGCCACCGCGTCGACTGCTTCGTGTCGAGGCCCACGGAGAAGACCGTCTTCCTGTACGTGATGTACGCCGTGGGCGGCCTCAGCCTGGCTCTCGACCTGGCCGAGCTGTGGCACCTGGGGATGGGCGCCCTCGGGGACTTGTTGCCAGGCAGCCGAGCCAAGCGCCAGCAACGGTCAGGGCTGGATTAAGGTTCATCTTCTTTGGTTCTTTCGGTAAAGTCACGTAGAATGAGAATAAAATAATAAATTGATAAAATAAAATAACACAATAATATTCTCACGACGTTTCGGCCACAACACAAGCGGCCTTCATCTATATATTCTATAGAGTTTATTGATAACATGAAGGTAATTTATATTTTAGTTTTTATTGGTTCACTATATAGTACTGTGAATAGCTCAGATGTGTAGTCATTTCTGTGACCAGTCACTAGCAAATCACCCAGTTATTTCAATGCTAAATTCGCCTAGTTATTTCAATGCTAAATTCTCCTGTTTGATTTGTACTAAGTGCCTCGGTGAATGTGTATGCTCTGACTTCAACGTAGCTATTTCTGTAGCAGTTACAAGCGAATCACTCAGCCATTTCAATGCTAAATTCTATGCTAATCCCATTGTCAAGGGGTGCCTCTGCGGATGTGTATGCCTTAACTTAGCTATTTCAATGCTAAATTCTATGCTAATTCCTTTTAACAATGGGTGCCTCTGCGGATGTGTATGCTTTAACTTTTAACATAGCTATTTCTGTGACCAGTCACAAGCTAATCATTCAGCCATTTCAATGCTAAATTTTATGCTAATTCCTTTGTCAAGGCTCTTTGTTCCTCTCACACAGCTTAAAAGCCGTGATCTGAACGTGGCTCTCTCACTCCAGCGCTGTCCTACCAGACAGTCTCGCCCCCTTCACCTGATGAAGGCCGCTTGTGTTGTGGCCGAAACGTCGTGAGAATATTATTGTGTTATTTTATTTTATCAATTTATTATTTTATTCTCATTCTACGTGACTTTACCGAAAGAACCAAAGAAGATGAATCATTGCAGTCACGAAAGCTTTAAATCGAAATTGGATTAAGGTTCTTGTAGGCCCTAGACACTTCTGTCTCGTAGGCCTTCAGTCAGGGCCGGATTAAGGTTCTTGTAGGGCCTTGACACTTCTATCTCGTAGGCCTTCAGTCAGGGCTGGATTGAGGTTTATTGTAGGCCCTAGACACTTATATCTCGTAGGCCTTCAGTCAGGGCCAGATTAAGGTTCTTGTAGGCCCTAGACACTTCTATCTCGTAGGCCTTCAGTCAGGGCTGGATTAAGGTTCTTGTAGGCCCTAGACACTTATATCTCGTAGGCCTTCAGTCAGGGCCGGATTGAGGTTTATTGTAGGCCCTAGACACTTCTGTCTCATAGGCCTTCAGTAAGGGCTGGATTAAGGTTCTTGTAGGCCCTAGATACTTCTATCTCGTAGGCCTTCAGTCAGGGCCAGATTAAGGTTCTTGTAGGCCCTAGACACTTATATCTCGTAGGCCTTCAGCAGTAATGTTCTACAGCTGCTACTGCTGCTAACCCATGTCACTAACTCCCTCCGCTGTCACTCGGCTTCCTTCACGCGGTACTTGAAACTGGACGTGCGTCATCGCTGCTGACACGTTCATTACTTAGCCAGTGCCCTCGTTCGACGGGAGGGCGCGCTGCGTGCCCGCACTTCGGCAGATTCCTACTTGAAGTCATTGGGGAGAGGAGCAAAAATATATCACGCGAGGTAAGCCTCGAAATATCGAACGCGGAAATGTCTTCCGCTATTTATTTTTTGACCGCGGCTATCGCGTGGGATGCCGTTTGTTTTCACCGATAACAAATTCGACGTCACCATGGGACCTCCCATGATGTAGCTGCACATGATGTAGCTGCTCACAACGAGCTCTCAATGTGCTGATAGTGGCATTGTGTCTGTGCTGTTCGCCTTTTGGCATCCTCTGGTCTAACACTGTTTGAGGCTAGGCTCTAAAGATAGCTCTCCCTGGTGTGGACCAATCAGTTTCAAAGACAATGCATCATATACTACCAGAGCATGTTTGTTTGCATGTTCACCACAAGTGTAGCGACATAAATGGTGTCACTACTCTGTAGCGACAGTAGCGAGTGAAGAGTGGTGCTGTATGCGTGGTGCCGCTCTATGGTACCAGAGTGAGCACGGCACGGAATGGCTCACTAGAGGGCAGGGTCCGGGTGTCGCTGAGGTCGGGTCAGGACATGATATCCTGGGTGAACCCGAGAGGGCACGTGACTGGACGAGGGGGCAAGGGGGGACGTGAGGGTTACGTGATAAGGACCCAGGGTCCATCCCGGAAGGATCTGGAAGGGGGCGTGGCCAAGGGCAGAGCCGGCCACGCCCCCTCCCGGAAGGATCTGGAAGGGGGCGTGGCCAAGGGCAGAGCCGGCCACACAGTTATAAACCAAGTCCCGGGTGGGAGCGGGGCTGCTGGGTCAACTCTGGGAATGAAGCCGCCATCTAAGGTCCTCGGTCTCCGGTCTCCGCTAGTGGACCAGGCAGCGTGTTGAGCTGTCCTGGTCCGGTAATATAATTAGCTAAGTTGGGAGCGGTGGTTACCGCCCTATGTCGTCATCCTGTTGAGAGTTACCTGTTGCCTCCAGTTCTAGTGTGCGCCTAAATGGAACCCACCACACAAGTGCTGCGTGTGGTTAATGTGAACTTGATTCCATGCAAAAGGTTTCTATTTGGCGTTCCAACATCTGAACACAACTCGTGCTTTATTGCCAGAAAGGGTATGGGCTTCCTCCCTGACGCTCAAAACGTGCCGTTCCCGCTGCTACTGTCGTTGCCATGAACAGGATTGCGAACGGCGATCCTCCTCCTCCGCCTCCTCCTCCTCCTCCTCGTCGCGCGGCCGAGACGGAGGAGGCCGCCCCCCGGCAGGTGGCGATAACGCCGGCGGCTGCATCGCAGCTGCAAGGTTACCTGCGCGCGATACAGCGGCGGCTGGAGCTGACGGTTTCCCCACCACCCCGACGGGCCAGGGCAACGCGGGGATACGGGGAGAGCGGAGCAGGGAGAGGTGGGGGAGGCGGAGAGGGAGGACGGCGGGAGACTCCGGCCTTACGCTCGGCCGCGGTGGCCGTGAGCAAAAACCCCCAAGTGCAGCTCGGCAAGAAATACGAAGTGGCGGCGGCGGCAGACGAAGTAGGAGATTCCGGAGAAGAACAAGGAGAGGTCAAGGCCGCCTCTAGGAAGGGAAGGGCCGTCCGAACGAAGAAATATCCAACCATCTCAGTTTAAGTTTCCTTACTCTTTGGTCCTTTCGGTAAAGTCACGTCGGTAGAAATAAACATTTTACTTTTTATTCTTGGTTCTTTCGGTAAAGTCACCACGTAGAAGGGAAACTATAAAATAAGAAAAATATAAAGCAATAGAATTATCTTATTGTTTTATTTTTTTTATTTTATTGTTTCCCTTCTACGTGGTGACTTTACCAAAAGAACCAAAGAGTGTGAATCCCTGCAGTCACGAAAGCTTCAAGTCGAGATTTAAGTTTCCTGTTTTGAGTTGAACGCCGAGTTATTCACGAATAAAGGTTTTCTCTTTTGGGGGGTCAGATCTCGCTTGTGAGTTGTAGATATGTCGTTGAGCACTCCACCACCCGGCATCAGCCAGCAAGGTTGTGTCACGTAGACGAAACCTCGTGCCGGGTGGTTACTACTGCAGCCCACCAGCGTGTTTGAGAGAACAATTGTGAGCATGGATTTATTCTCCCAACACTATACACTGCACTACTATACACTACACTATACACTACACACGGCACTATGCTTTACCCGACTATACACTATACTACTATACACATCACTACTATACATTACACTACTATACACTACACACAATACTGTACATTACACTACCATACACCACTATGCACTACACTATTATACACTACTCTACATCACTATACACTTTAGTAATATTCACTACTATACACTACACTATACGCTGCTATACACCACAGTAATATAGGCTACACTACTATACAATACACTATACACTGCACTATACACTACTATACACTGCACTATACACTACTATACATCACTATACACTATAGTAATATACACTGCTATACACTACACTATACGCTGCTATACACAGTAATATAGGCTACACTACTATACACTACACTGTACACTGCACTATACACTACTATACATCACTATACACTATAGGAATATACCTTGCTATACACTACACTATACGCTGCTATACACAGTAATATAGGCTACACTACTATACACTACACTATACACTACACACAATACTGTACACTACACTACCATACACCAATATACACTACTATACATCACTATACACTAGTAATATACACTACTATACACTACACTGCACTATACACTACTATACATCACTATACACTAGTAATATACACTGCTATACACTACACTATACCCTGCTATACACCACAGTAATATAGGCTACACTACTATACACTACACACAATACTGTATACTACACTACCATACACCACTATACACTACACTACTATACACTACACCATTATACATCACTATACACTATAGTAATATACACTGCTATACACTACACTATACACTACTATACACTACACCACTATACATCACTATACACTATAGTAATATACACTACTATACACTGCACTATACACTACTATACACAACACCACTATACACACTATACACTACTATACACTACACCACTATACACTACACTATACACTACTATACATGACTATACACTATAGTAATATACACTACTATACACTACCCCACTATACACTACTATACACTACACTACTATACACTATATTAATATACACTACACTATACACTACTATACACTACACCACTATACACTACACTACTATACACTATAGTAATATACACTACTATACATGACTATACACTAGTAATATACACTACACCACTATACACTACTATACACTACACCACTATACACTACACTACTATACACTATAGTAATATACACTACTATACACTACACTATACACAACAATACACTACACTATACACCACTATACACACTATACACTACTATACACTACACCACTATACACTACTATACACTACTATACATGACTATACACTATAGTAATATACACTACTATACACTACACTATATGTTGCTATACACTAGACCACTATACACTACTATACACTACACCACTATACATCACTATACACTACTATACACTACTATACACTACACCACTATACACTACTATACATGACTATACACTATAGTAATATACACTACTATACACTACACGACTATACACTACTATACACTACACCACTATACACTACACTATACACTACTATACACTACACTATACACTACACCACTATACACTACTATACACTCTGCTATGGGTGGGGGGGAGGGGCTGTCTCGTGCTGAGGGGGCTTTGAGGAGGGAGGCGATGTGAGCCAATCAGGGGGTGTGCGTGTCACGTGAACAAAGGAATTGCTTGTCGAAGGAATCGTTTACCAAACGATTCACCAGCCGAAGAATCGACGTTTAATGCCTGCGGCACTTCCGGATCGACTCGACATGAGGGAATCGACGATAAAAACCACGATTCGCGATCCACAATGGCGGCGCTGCTCCTGTGCCCACGTTGACGTCTCCAGCTGCAGACTGATCACCTCCAGTAGGGCAGTGAAGATGCGGCTACTAGTACCAGTACTACTACTACCAGTACTACTAGTACTGGTAGTAGTAGTAGTACCACTAATACTACTAGTTGTATTAGTACTAGCGGTACTACTACCACGAGTACCACGAGTAGTAGTAGTACCAGTACTACTAGTACTGGTACTACTACTACCACGAGTAGTAGTAGTACCAGTACTACTAGTACTGGTACTACTAGTAGTACTAGTAGTAGTACCACTAATACTACTAGTTGTGGTATTAGTACTAGCGGTACTACTACAAGGCCTACGACAACTAGTACTACTACTGTACTACCACTACCAGTATTACTACCAGTACTACTACTACCAGTACTACTACCAGTACTACAACTACTACTACCGCTACTACCAGTACTACTACTACCAGTACTACTACCAGTACTACAACTACTACTACCACTATTACCACTACCAGTACTACTGCTACCAGTACTGGTACTACTGGTACTACTACCGCTACTACCAGTACTACTACAACCAGTAGCACCGGTACTACTACTACCACTGCTACTACTACCAGTACTACTACCAGTACTACTACCAGTACTACTGCTACTACTACCAGTACTACCAGTACTACTACCAGTACTACTACTGGTACTACTACCGCTACTACCAGTACTACTACAACCAGTAGCACCGGTACTACTACTACCAGTACTACTACTACTACCAGTACTACTACCAGTACTACTAATACTACTACCACTATTACCACTACCAGTACTGCTGCTACCAGTACTGGTACTACTGGTACTACTACCGCTACTACCAGTACTACTACAACCAGTAGCACCGGTACTACTATTACCACTGCTACTACTACCAGTACTACCAGTACTACTACTACCAGTACTACTGCTACTACTACCAGTACTACTACCAGTACTACTACCAGTACTACTACTGGTACTACTACCGCTACTACCAGTACTACTACAACCAGTAGCACCGGTACTACTACCAGTACTACTACTACCAGTACTACTACCAGTACTACTAATACTACTACCACTATTACCACTACCAGTACTACTGCTACCAGTACTGGTACTACTGGTACTACTACCGCTACTACCAGTACTACTACAACCAGTAGCACCGGTACTACTACTACCAACTGCTACTACTACCAGTACTACTACTACCAGTACTACTACCAGTACTACTGCTACTACTACCAGTACTACTACCAGTACTACTACTGGTACTACTACCGCTACTACCAGTACTACTACAACCAGTAGCACCGGTACTACTACTACCAGTACTACTACTACCAGTACTACTACCAGTACTACTAATACTACTACCACTATTACCACTACCAGTACTACTGCTACCAGTACTTACCAGTACTACTGCTACCAGTACTGGTACTACTGGTACTACTACCGCTACTACCAGTACTACTACAACCAGTAGCACCGGTACTACTACTACCACTGCTACTACTACCAGTACTACTACCAGTACTACTACTACCAGTACTACAACTACTACTACCAGTACTACTACCAGTACTACTACTACCAGTACTACTGGTACTACTACCGCTACTACCAGTACTACTACTACCAGTACTACTACTGGTACTACTACCGCTACTACCAGTACTACTACTGGTACTACTACCGCTACTGCCAGTACTACTACAACCAGTAGCACCGGGTCTACTACTACCACTGCTACTACTACCAGTACTACTACTACCAGTACTACTACCAGTACTACTACTACCAGTACTACTGGTACTACTACCGCTACTACCAGTACTACTACAACCAGTAGCACCGGTACTACTACTACCACTGCTACTACTACCAGTACTACTACCAGTACTACTACTTCTACCAGTACTACTACTACTACCAGTACTACAACTACTACTACCAGTACTACTACCAGTACTTCTACTACTAGTACTACTACCAGTACTACTACTACCAGTACTACTACCAGTACTACAACTACTACTACCAGTACTACAACTACTACCAGTACTACAACTACCAGTACTACTACTACCAGTACTACTACTGGTACTACTACTACCAGTACTACTACCAGTACTACTACTACTACTACTACCAGTACTACAACTACTACTACTACCAGTACAACTGGTACTACTACCGCTACTACCAGTACTACTACTACTACCAGTACTACTACTACCAGTACTACTACCAGTACTACTACTACCAGTACTACTACTGGTACTACTACCGCTACTACCAGTACTACTACAACCATTAGCACCGGTACTACTACGGCTACAACTACCACTGCTACTACTGCCACTATATCTACGAAAAATACTACTACCACTATAACTACTCATCAATTACTACTACTACCACTACAACTCAATCGGAGGTGAGGTCTTGAGTCTATGGGCAATGTTGAGCATATGGGTAGTTTTGAGTCTGTGGGCAGTGTCGAGTCTATGGTGCAGTGTTGAGTTTATGGTGCAATGTTGAGTCTGTGGTGCAGTGTTGAGTCTGTGGGCAGTGT